CCAATCACGCTTCTCTTTCTGGCAATCAGATGGATGTGTCTGGGTTTGGTGGTTGCCAGGAGATTGGTACTTGACTGATTGTATTTTATTGCTTGGCCCAGTATAGTGAGTGACAGTGTTGGAAAAGAACTACAACTGAAATCATACTGGTCTCCTCTGCAGCGTACTGCGCACTCCATTATTACACTGCTTGGTGTTATTTTCATTTCCGGCCACACAACCTCAGCTCGCCTTTCTCCGCCTATCCTACAATCCCGCCCTCTTCTTACCCCGCTATCCTACAATCCCGCCCTCTTCTTACCCCGCCTATCCTACAATCCCGCCCTCTTCTTACCCCGGAAACTGTAACGTGAAGTCACATCAGCGCGCAGACTACAAGTCCCGAGATGCTTTGCGGAGACAATGTGTGTTCTCGCGACATGTATGCGACTGGCGCCCGTGCTGATATTGCTTGGGAAACCCTTCGCTCTTCCTTTTCCCCAAGATGGCACCGAAGGCAAAGAAGGAAGGTGAGGGCTGTGGAGAGAAGTTGGAAGCTTTCTCCGGGGGGGGCTGAGGGGGCCGCATGCAGTTCGGAAAGGCCGTCTCTCTCTCGCTAAACTGAGATCGGCGCGGGGTGTGTTATGTGTGCGGGGTGAGCGCGTGCATGAATGGTCCGCCGCGTGTGCGGTGTATGAGGAGGGAGGTGTGAGGCCTGCTGGGAGCCCCCTTGCCCTGTGATGGTACAGGCCGGCCCGGTACGCGGGATGTTCTATAAGCGATCAAAGTATGATAATCGTGATTCCAGCTTATCTGTGCTGATGGGCCCCGGCTGTACCAACTGGGGACACGTGTCTGGGGAGGCCGTTCCTCACCTGGTCTTCTATACTACTAGTCATGTCTGCTCCTAGGACTGGGGAGGGATGCGTGCTGTGTAGATGGTCCGTGCAGAGCCGTGTCCTCCATCCGGGAGATGAGATGGTCTGGGCAATGTCTTTCAGAAGGTGTTCTTGATAGATGTGCGGATTCCTGGCAGTCCTGTGTTTCTGGCATGTTGGATTCATACCGGGCACTCTGCACCCCCTTCGTGGCCAGGCCAATGTTCAGCTCTCACACTCAGAACTACTCATTCATGCAGCACTGCACCCATATCACATGCTTTATCGTTGTTTGCTAAATAAACGAAAAAAAGAATATTTTTATGAATTTTTTTTTGCAGAATTATATAACAGAAGCTTCCTTCATATATCTAGGCCTGATGTACACGGTTATATGTTTCTGTGGTGGAAATAATCCAAATCCGTGTTAGTGTGTGGGACATACCATGTTGTAGCGTGTACATACCATGGTGTATATGTCTGACAGTAGCGTGTACATACCATGGTGTATATGTCTGACAGTAGTGTGTACATACCATGGTGTATATGTCTGACGGTAGCGTGTACATACCATGGTGTATATGTCTGACAGTAGCGTGTACATACCATGGTGTATATGACAGCTGACCAGCCCTGATGGACAAACACTCATTTCTTGAGGCCTGGATGTCAGGACTGTACAGATCCCCCTAAAGACCCCATTCTGGGAAGTAGACAGGCCAAGGTATATAAAGCGGCATGACAAGATTTTTGAAGTTGTCATTTTTGTCTAATTTTTTGTAAATCTAAAGAGTGAAAACATTTTTCATTTGTACTTCACATTGTACTACTTTGGGGAAGTGATCAGGATTTTTTTTGTCTTTACACATTGCTTATACCAGTGAATTTCACTGTTATAAGCAACCATCCGTACTGCATGAAATTGACAAATTCAGTGATTGCTATTGTGGGTAGATGTGATTGACAGCAACTAATCACATGCTACAGATGGACTGATTGGCCCTGTCTGTACCATGTGATCACTGTGACCAGTCAGAGATCAACACAATGGATGGCATGAATGAAAGCCATCCACTGTGTACAGTTATGTGATCTGCTGTGATCGGTCACAGCAAACACATGGTACCTACAGCTGCCACTACACCGATTGGTCAACCACTATGTCCAGTGGACATAGCAGGTGATAGATCTTACCACAGCATGGCCTGTTCTGGGATGACGTTTGTCCGAAATGGTGAATGTCCCTTCAACTGTCATTTGACTATAGGCCGGGTGGGAACTGGTTAAAGCAAAAACTTTTCCAGCAGGGGCCAGTTTGCTGTCCTTAGGATTTAGGGGGCCAGACTGGCTAGTGGGAGTAGAAAATGACCCAGCATTAGCGCCCCATCATTGGTTTTAATGGGAAGTATAGTGCCCCATTGTTATCATTGACCTGGGGTCCCCTTGATGGTGTCAGTAGGGGAAATGGTGCTCCACCAGTGGTGTCAGTTGGTAGAATAGTGCCCCAAGAGCCAGCTAAGGGCAAGAAAAGGGCCACAGTTTGGGACCACTGGGTTAAAGCCTGCGTTTAACCTCCCTGGCGGTATTCCCGACTGTACCTCGGGGTAAAGTTTCAGTACCACAAGCGGTAACCCCGAGCTACACTCGGGAATACCCTGCAGCGCTTACCTTGTCCTTTGCTCCCATGATGTGTCCCCGGCCGAATCCGTGTTCCGGTCCCTGTGACGTCGGGACGTACGGGCGCCGGAAACGGCGGCAGATTTGACATTTTTAAAAAAAAAACAAAAAACGATTATTACATAGTAAAACATCGCTGCTTCAAAACATTTCACATACATTTTGTCCCGAGTGCTTTGTCCTGTGCCCTGCCTACATTTTTACTGTTCTTTCTGCCTGGAAAATGAGAAATGTCCATGGCGGCCAAAAAGCGTCCCTTTAGGTCAAAAGCGGTTTTAGATCTAGAGAACAGCGATAGTAAATCAGAACTACTTGCAGAATTGAGTGATAATGATTCGTGGGGGAAATTTGTAATCAGACACTGAAAACAATTTGTGCAACTTTGCTCAGTGATGTGTGAACTTGGCGCTATATTTCAAATTTCAGTGTTTTTGGTTTGATTCTATTATTGAATTAAATTTATTATTATAGTATTTTTTTTGATTATTAAATTATAATTTTTGATTTGGTGTTTCAAGTTTTATCCAATCCGGAATGTTTACTAGACTCTTGTTCGGACAGATTTCAGTGAGTTATTCCTAAAAATTACAGGCCTACAATAAAAAAAATACATATTTCCATGCAAAAAAATGGTACCGCTTTCAGCACCAAAAATCTGAAATAATCATACCGCCAGGGAGGTTAAGCAACACATTAAAAAAAAATATATATATATAAATCCGCACGAGGAATGTTATTTATATTCAGTGATAAAGGCTTTCAACTATGACAGGCGACACTTTAAATTAAAGGTATGTAATGGCCTTTGTGCCTTTAAAAAAAAAAAAAGCTACAAATACTGTAGCTTACAACTTTTAACAAAAGGGCACTTACCTGTCCAGGGATCCAGTGCCATCCTCACCCAAGCTACTTTTTCAGGTCCAGGCACCAGCATGTGTACTGTGATTCCTTGTGGCTTCAGAGCCAGCTGTCCATTGCAAATATGTGAGCCACACTGCACTTTGTGAATGGTCCCGCGATTTTCTGTGACCTATGATGTGTCTTAGAAGGTTGTGAGGAGAACTTCTGGTTGAATGCTGGGGTGATCTGACAGCAAATGGAAGTGGGTACCTGTCAAAACTAGGCCCTCATACCCTTTAGGGTGCTGTTCCACTTTAAGCAGTTTCTCATTCATGTGTTGAAAAATTAAAAGTTCAGCAGTTAGAAAAACTGCAGCTGCTGGCTTTTAATAATAGGACACTCGCCCATCCCAGGATCCAGCACTCTCCTCACCCAGTGTTTTCTTCACTGGGCTTCGGTCCTTGGCACTGGCATACTAATTGTACAGCTGTGACTGCTTGCGGCTTTACAGAAGGTTGCCGTTGTGCTACCTGAATAGTCTTGCAGTCTTTTGGAACCTGTGACATACCTCGGAAAGCCGCTGGGGAGGACCAAAATTCTGCACAGATCGCAAAAAGTGACTATTATTACACAGGATTTATATAGCGCCAACGGTTTGCTCAGTGCTTTACATTGTAGTGGGAGACAATACAGTAACAATACAGTTCAGGACAAGAGGGATTAGAGGGCCCTGCTCTTTGGAGTTTATAATCTAGGATTTGACCAGAAGTGGAGGAATGGGTACCTGTCAATACTAGATACCCATTTCCTTAAAAAAAATAAATAAAGTTCCAAGTGTGAAGGTGGAGGAAGAGCAGAACTTGCCCTTTTGGGTGAAGTTCCACCTTTAGTTTTACCTAAACTTGGGCTTTAGGGCCCATTCACACTGTGCAGGTACCTGCGTTCTGCTTCATAGATGAATGCAGGTAACTGCGGATGATGCATTGAAAACAGTCATTTTCGATGTGTCATGTTCCCACCAGAACACTGAGTTTCTCTGCGTTCCAGAGCTGTGCAATATTATCCAATGTGTGTATGCTGCTCTGGACGGCCCTGAATGCCTGTGCATGGGGCCCCATGGGCCATGGGCCCCTGTGTCCTTGCCCAAACTCAAAAAAGCCTATGAAAAGGTCGCCATGCTGCTGTGCACTGATAATTCAAGTGTCACTCTGTGCTCTTCACATGAAGTTCAGACCAAGAAAAGGGAGCTGTGTGATGCAATAAAACGTGCATGGCGGTCCCCTGCCACATGGCTCTGCAGTCCAAAATAGACTGTAGCCCCCAAACAAACTGCTGCGGTTTGTGTACCAGCAAGTGTTAATGGGCCCTGAAAGCACCTGTGTAAAGCTGGCCATAGATGCATAGCATTTCAAGTGAAATTCATTTGTTTGAAAGATTTTGTTTGCTTGTAACAGTTGATTTATGGAATGAATGGAACTCCGCTTTAAACAGCCATAAAGGTTTAACCATTTCCAACTCTATCCATTTGTAACAAAAGGTGTAGAATAATGAATTGAGTGCTTGAGGACTCTATGGGTGGATACTAGGTTGTAATTTTATTAATGTGTCACATTGTATTCTTTTGTTAGCTGTCCCTGCCAAGACTGAAGCAAAGTCTAAGGCTCTGAAGGCCAAAAAGGCTGTGCTAAAAGGAGTACACAGTCACAAGAAGAAGAAGATCCGAACCTCTCCTACATTCCGGAGACCCAAAACCTTGAGGCTCAGGAGGCAACCCAAATACCCAAGGAAAAGTGCCCCCACTAGGAACAAGTATGCTTACTTTTAATGGTTTTGCCTTTGCGGTCTTTGCCAAAGTCCAAACAGTTTAAAGGGTATCCAAAGATTTTATTTTTTTTGAGGGTAAGGGGTTTTTTTTATTTTTTATGGTGGGAAGATTTTATTCAAAGTTGAGTTGTCACCAGGGGATTGGAATCCTTTTGTTATGTGACCATTGTTATGGTGGGTTTCCCTCTCTTAGAAGGGATTTCTTCTTACTACTTGTCAGTGGGACTCAAATAAATTGAGGCACAGTGGCAAAACTATAATGTCAAAAATAGAAATTGTTTTGGCTTTAGATGTGCTTTAATTGATATGGCAGTTACTTTGTGTGGAAATTTAACCCCTTAACGCTGGCACCTCTAGACCCTTTGAGGGTTTTTTTTTTTTTTATGCTGCGAGGCAGGGTGGGGTTTCAGATTATGTGGCCTCCATCATTGGCTGTCACAGCGATCACATGATCGTAAAACTCCCGATCGCAAGTAGAGATTGGGAACTTTCTGTTTGATGCCGTTAACTGTGTCGGAAGCGCTCTCTCAGCACAGCTGTGTTTACATTCTGGTACACATGTGGCCTCTCAGCATTAAGGCCCACCCGCCGAGAAGCCTCATATTTGTGTACTGTTAACGCATACTAAAAGATCTTTTACCTCTTTGCATTGAGGACAGATTTGGAATCTTTGGTGATTAGGCATTACAGTTGTCATACTCCTCATACTAAAGGGACCCTACCTTCTACCTGCTATGAGGTTCTGTGGTACAGATGATGTTTTTCAAAGCGATCAAAGACTGAGATTTCATGATTGCACTTTTTTCTTACTGATGTACCCAGAGCTTCCAGAATTTGGTGCCATTGTCAAAATATATTAACTTTTTTTATCATGTTCAGAACATTAAAGGTTTCTCTTCTTGACACTATGGGGGTTATTTACTAAAACTGGAGAGTGATAAATCTGGTGCAGCTCTGCATAGAAACCAATCGGCTTCCAGGGTTTATTGTCAAAGTTTAATTGAACAAGCTGAAGTTAGAAGCTGATTGGATACAATACACAGCTGCATCAGATTCTGAATGTGCCAGTGTTAGTAATTCACCCCCCTTTTGTATTGCACATTTAGAAAAGGTAACTGGGAGCGACCAGGTTCCCATATCATTGTGTATAATTCAGGAACCCTGTATAGTATTTATCTTCAGGAATTTTAAACTGAAATTGATTTTTTTTTTCTATCAAAGGGCAACTTCATTTCTAAGACACACCACAAGTGTTGGTATAAATGCTCTCTGGGTTATATGCAGCAGTGGGGTCAGGCATATAGGTGTAGATGACTTACAGGAAAGTCTCAAGAGGGAGACACTAGGGATTTACTAAAACTGGTGCACTCAGAATCTGGTACAGCAGTGCATGGTAGCCAATAGGCTTCTAGCTTCAGCTTGTTCAGTTAAGCTTTGGCAATAATACCTGGCAGCTGATTTGTTTCTATGCAGAGCTGCACCAGATTTTGCACTCTCCAGTTTAGGCTCTGTTCACACCAAATGTGTGTTTTTAGTGCTTTTTGCAGAAACGCACTGCAGTCCATTTAATATGGTTTTCCTATGGAACATGTTCACATCTATGCTTTTTTAGCTGCTGTATTTTTGGAAAGTGTCAGGAACTTTTTTTAAAGGCAAAAAGCAGCGTTTATGCTACAATAGAGTTCAATGGAGAATCTGCTGAAATGCATGGTAATGCGTTTTCACCACGATTTGTGTTTTTTTTTTTTTGCCCACCCAAAAACAAAATCCACAAAATTAACAAAACGCGTGTAGAAAAATGCAAAACAAACTGCGAAAAGCACTGCAAAACGAAAAATCGGTCGTTCAAGCGGCCGACATTACCAGCAATGGTAAAAAAAATCAGCCGATTTTCATCCCGTCTACAGCCGGCAAAAAGTGTCCCTGCAGAGAGCTCTGCTATTTCTTTGACAGTTCTTTGACATTTACAGTGGTGTGCAACAATGTATCTATTTGTATCCAATTTGGGATACAGATGTTTTTATTCGGAAACAGATAGATTCTTCCTCTTTCTCTCCTCCTCCTCCTAAAAATCGGCCGATTTTTTTCGACCCATCTATGGCCTGCATTAGTCAATAACCCCTTTGTAGAAATGTTTTGGTTGAATTGCATGTAATGTATCGGTGAATATCTTTTCAGCTAGTCTCTTGCTTACCCTTGTCATATCTTTCCAGGGATTTTGTGGCAGAAGGATCCTAACTTGCTCACATTTATGTCCGCATCCTTCAAAACCTGTATCTGTAGCCTTTTTTTTTTTTTTTTTTTTTTGCTGCTGGTACATAACCAAAGTTAACAATTCTGACAAAAGTAAAGCAGCCAAGCAATTGCTGTGATTTCTTGTGAAGTCTAGCAATGCGTAGCTGATCTTTGATTTTCTTACTCTCATATATATTGTGTGTCTGTGGTGGTTTGTTTTTTTTTTTTTTTTTTTTTTTTTTGCAGTTAAAAATAAAAAAAACACACCTGCTTGCAGTGGTTTTCCTTTCCATACATTTTAAAAGTCTACTGTCTGTGCTGGTCCAACTCCTCCACCCCATGTTCCCCAACAGAACCTTTTATATATCTGCTACAGGAGGAACGAAGGGGAATACTATAGTGTCACTTTAGTGGCAGCTTGGAGTTTGCTGGAGCTGCTGACATCCAAGCTGTCAGTGCCTAGCAGCAGTCTCTGGGCATGTCTATACAAAATTTAAATGCACTTAAAATATTTTTGTTACAATGGTTGATCTGGCAAGTCTTTTTAAAGGATAAGAAATTGTGACTATAGGATTTTTCCATTTTCCAGTGACTGTTGAAGTTGCGTAAACTGTTGCAGTGGATATTTCTAACATGTTTCTCCTTATCTTAGGCTTGACCATTATGCCATATTAAGTTCCCTCTGACAACCGAATCTGCTATGAAGAAGATTGAGGACAATAACACTCTGGTTTTCATTGTTGATGTCAAAGCAAACAAGCACCAGATTAAACAAGCCGTGAAGAAGCTGTATGACATAGATGTAGCCAAAGTGAACACCCTCATTAGGTAAGTGGCAAAGTTTTCCAGTGAGGGCAGAGGCACGTGAGTTTTGAAATGCACATGATGGAAATTGAATTCTGGCTGAAGTCACTGATGTGTTCAAAGGAACCACTGATGCATGCTGGTGAAAGGTGTAAAGGTTCTCTATAATGTAAAAAGATATGTAATGTGAAATTCTGTTTTGTGTTGCAGGCCAGATGGTGAGAAGAAGGCATATGTACGTCTTGCTCCCGATTATGATGCTCTAGATGTTGCTAACAAGGTAAAGTTCAAGGCTTGTCTACTTTCCTAATATCCGTGTAATGTATTGGATGTGGATCTTTTTGAATCCAGTGCATGTAAACAGCAGTGTGCGGATGAAGCGTCAACACTCTTCCTTTGTGAAGAGCAAAAGTCCCCCTGCAGATACGTGATAAAATTCACTGTGCAAATGATGGAAACTTTTTCTGTCTGAATACATTGATGTGTTCAAAGGAACCACTGATGCACAGCAAGGTTGATTATACACCATTTAAAATGCCTTCTGGTTATTTTGGCCATGGGCACAACATTTGTCCAAATAAAGATTCTAGCAGTATTATAACCCGGGTTTATCATAAAGTACATTTGTTGGTTTAGAGCAAGGTTGTATTTCACAGGTATACATTTAGACAATTGTGTTCATTCAGTTTATTGCCAGCATAACGTGGGGTCTGTTTTTGAATAGTTGCTGCCGTGGTCACTTCTATAGTTGAAGTGGGACAGATTATACGATTTTAATTTAAAGTTTCAGTATTGCATATCCTACCACAATTGGCTTCTACATCAGTAGCAAAAAAAAACACCCCACCAGCAAATACCTTAATAAAACGCTGTTCTATGGGTTTATTTGCTGTATCTCTGTCCAAAGAAAAAGCTGCGTTGTGAAAATGCTCACCATGAAATGTATTAAATTCGGTAGTTCTGGATGTTCGTGGTTTTATTTGTACTTTACAGTGTTTTATATATAGACCACATTCATCTTACAGCACAAATGGCTGTTGTGGATTAGTTGCTATACTATACTGGATATTACTTTTGTACTTTATTTTCTGTGTTGTACTATTCAGATGGATGTCTGTTGGTAGTGCAAAAAAGTTATGATGCATGTTCAGTGTTCTTATACGTTTTCTTCTCTTCTGTTACAGATTGGCATCATCTAAACCTGCTGGCACATGTTCTGTACAGAAATAAATCCATTAAAAACATTTTTTGTTTTCTTTTCTGTGTGCATGAGTGTGGGGGAGTTGAGAAAACTGCTGAGTTCTACTGTATGTATTAGGCCAGATGCAAGATTACCAAAAAAGAGGTGTCTTGCAATAAACTCTTAAAACTCAAACATGTTTTGGAGGGAGTATAAAGGGGGTTCCAACCTTGGTCAGGCTTCTTGATGTCCTACTAAGCAGCTCTCTTTTACTTCTATCTTGGTAACAGTGGAGAGTGTAAAGGGAGAAGGGATTGGAAATGTTTTCCATAATGAGATGCCAGTGATGTACATTTCTCCCCCCCTCTGAATTTTAATGCAACTGTTCTTGATCTTTACGTATAAAAACATTGGAAGGTCTATGAGACTTCACTTAAGATATAAAAAAAAAAAAAAAAAGGGAAATGTATGTTCTCTGCAATAGAAGAGCTGCTTTACTTGCCTCTTTCAAACCTTCCAGCATTCAATTCTGTGGAGAAAAGAAAATCACTTGATTTCTCCTTCAACAGTCAGTGTTGGTGGGGGAATGTCTCTGATGACTCTATTGTATTCTGTTGGTGGGGAGCCTTTCTGGGCAGCAGAACACGATTATTGCTGCTAGCGGCTATAAATGCTGGCAGTAATTGCTTGTAATAAATTAAAAAAAAAAACGGGTTGGTTGTACCGAAGTTGATCGCTGGATTGACTTGAGTGCAAACATCCTTGCCCATACATGGCTCAAAATGTGGCCAGTACCTACTGAGTCGGCTGAATTTCGATACTTGTATGGCCAGTTTTAGGGTTTTGCATGGACATGTGATCCTTTTGCTCAGACATGATCCTTTTGCTATTTGTTCCTAGTTGGATCAGACAAAGATTGGTATGGGTACCATTTTCTTTTGACAAATGTCTTTAGGCCTTCAGAGCTGAAAAGCTAAATGTCTGCTGAGCATAAATTTTAGCATGAAGTGCTGTACGCATTCCCCAAGACTCTGTTCACATATCAGTGTTTTGGATCACGTGTAGAATCTCTGCGATTCTGCCCCTGATTTTAAAATGAGCTGTTAAAATGTGAAATGGCTGATCAGCATGTTTGGTGCCATTCATTTCAATGGCACCTGAGTATGGGGGGTGTTTTTACTGCAATTATGCTATTATTTTTTTTTCTTTCCCCCTCCACAAAAGAACTGCAATCGTGCACACAAAATTGCGCAACACGTGGCAGCCAAAAGACGTTCTGGAACTTTTTGGGGCGAGTTTGCGCGATTGCAGCTTTTTTGTTGCATGGGCAATCACAGCAAAATTGCCCTACATTTTTCAGGTTCCATTGAAATGAATGGCACCTAAACATGTTGATCAGCGATTTCACATTTTAACTGCGCATTTTTGAAATTGCGGGCAGAATTATGCGATTCCACCTGCAATTCAACATACCAATGGAGAACTTGAGTGAAAGCCTCATGTAGAGAAGACCAATAAAGCCTTGCAGAGCTGATGTCTTTACTGTACACGCAATGCAGAGAAGGGCAGTTCACACAAATACATGCTGATTCCTTTTCAGCTTGAGTGCACAAAGGACATACCATGTTATGCCTGGCCAGCCAACAAATTTCACTTGTCTATGTGAGATTTACACCGATCAGCCATAACTTGCTGGCCATACAGTACCTGGATCTAAAATAGTCCAGTCTGCTGAACTGGCTGAATTTTGATCCATGTGTGAGCAAGGCTTTTTCTACACAAGTTGATCCATTACTATAGGACAGAAAGGAGGTGAAGCTGTATGTACAGCAGTGAGATGTGACAAATATATTTCAATTGGGAGGGGTCACCTCCCCAAAAGTAAAAATGGTGGAAAAACCCCCCCCCACAAAATGGTATTTAAGGGTGACATGCCAGTATATGGGAAAAATCAACTCTACAAACGTGATTATATAAAAGATTGCAAGTTTTTACTGAACATGCATTAAAAACACAGTTCATCAGATAAAAAGAATAGGCTAATCACAGTATAGAGTTACACTTGTTGGTGATGATTATGCGTTTTGTGGTAACCACTGCTTCAGATTGTTAAACTCGGGTATGACAGATATTCATAACATCTCTACAAATAGAAAATATACATACAGTGAAGGAAATAAGTATTTGATCCCCTGCTGATTTTGAATGTTTGCCCACTCACACAAAGAAACGATCAGTCTATAAATCGAATGGTAGGTGTATTGTAACACTGAGAGACAGAATAGGAACCAAAAATTCAAAAGAAATGCATGTCTAACAAATTAAGCACTGATTTGCATGTTCATGAGGGAAATAAGTATTTGATTCCCTTCACAAAACAAGGTCAGATGTTTCCTGCAGTTGGCCACCAGGTTTGCACACATCTCAGGAGAGATTTTGGCCCACTCCTCTTGGCAGAGCCTCTCCAATTCATTAAGGTTTGGTGGCTGATGTATGGCAACTCGAACTTTCAGCTCCCTTCACAGATTTTCAATCGGATTAAGGTCTGAAGACTGGCTAGGCCACTCCAGGACCTTAATGTGCTTCTTAAGCCACTCCTTTGTTGCCTTGGCCGTGTGTTTTGGGTCATTGTCATGCTGGAACACCCATCCACGACCCATTTTTAGTGCCCTGGCTGAGGAAAGAAGGTTCTCACCCAAGATTTGATGGTACATTGCCCCGTTCATCATCACTTTGATGCGGTGCACTTCCTGTCCCCTTGGCAGAAAAGCACCCCCAAAGCAGAATGTTTCCACCACCATGTTTGAAAGTTGGGATGGTGCTCTTGGGGTCATAGGCAGCATTCCTCCTCCTTCAAACAAGGCAAGTTGAGTTGATGCCAAAGACTTCGATTTTGGTCTCATCTGACCACAACACTTTCAACCAGTCCTCCTCTGCATCATTCAGATGTTCAGTGGCAAACTTCAGAGGGGCCTGGACATGTGCTTTCTTAAGCAGAGGGACCTTGCGGGCACTGCAGGATTTCAATCCTCGTCGGTGTAGTGTGTTACCAATTGTTTTCTTGGTGACTGTGGTCCCGACTGCCTGGAGATCATTGACAAGAACCTCACGTGTAGTTCTGGGATGATTCCTCACTCTTCTCATGATCATTGACACTCCACGAGGTGAGATCTTGCGTGGTGCGCCAGACCTAAGGAGACTGACAGTTGTTTTGTGTTTCTTTCCATTTGCGAATGATTGCACCAACTGTTGTCACCTTTTCACCAAGCTACTTGGCGATAGTTTTGTAGCTCAGTCCAGCCTTGTGTAGGCCTTCAATCTTGTTCCTGACATCCTTGGACAGCTCTTTGTGCTTTGCCATGGTGGAGAGTTTGGAATCCGATTGCTTCTTTGCTCCTGTGGACAGGTGTCTTTTATACAGGTAACAAAATGAGATTGGCAGCACTCCCTTTAACAGACTGCTTCTAATCTCAGCTTGTTACCTGTATGAAAGACACCTGGTAGCCAGAAATCCTGCTGAATGGTAGGGGATAAAATATTTATTTCCCTCATGAACATGTAAATCAGTGCATAACCGGTTCCCGCCCGGCCTATAGCGAGATGGCGGCCGGCAAAACACCTCTTACCTCCGGGTGGACGCCATATGGTGTCCTTTCAGGCATGCGCAGTTTGCCTCCCCGCAGGGCCCCTCTGCGGCGCGATCTGTCACAGGCCGAGTACCTCGGATACGGCCGATGACAGATTTGTGTACCGGCCCCATTTCCAGTACCATGTGACCTGCTGTGACCAATCACAGCAGGTCACAACAGTTGTATACAATGGATGGCTTCCTTTTATGCCATCCATTGTATACTAGTGTGTCTAGCTATGAATGGTCACAGCTATCACATGCACAAGCTAGGCCAATCATAGCCCAGCTGTGTCATGTGATTAGCCGTGGCCAAATCACAGCGAAGCACAAAAAAAAAAAAAAACTACACCCCTGAATAAATCGATGCCATTCAGATAAATGCTTGCTTATAGCAAAGTATTTCTTTGCTATAAGCAAATTGTAAAAAAAAAAAAAATACTGATCACTTCCCCAAAGTAGTACAATGTTACTATGGTAACATTATACTACTTTGGTCATA